TCTTGGCACTAAATCTTAATACTTCCATAATGCTCACTGCAAAGATGGGGTGTTTCTGTAAGACTACTAGTTGCTTATCCTGTGGGTATATATATATATCTGTTTGTTTTTTTGTTTTATTATCATTGTATCATATGTAAATGATCATTACTCATGGACTTCATGAGTAAAGCATATGGGGATTTTTGCCCACCCCTACTGACCCATGATTCCTACAATCAGGATCTTTCTACTTTTTAAAATAAGGAAGCACAGACACCCATTGTACTGTCTCCAATGTGTTGTTCCTCCGAACTCCGCAGTACGTATTCCACCCCTATTTTTCTAGTGGAGCACATGAGTCCTTGCCACTGCTGTTTCGCAGTTGCTTGAGTGGTGGACCATGGAGGTTTTCTCTGGAGTGGGTTTTGTATAATAAAACAAACTTCATAATCAAATGTAAACACTCTGTGAGAAGAGGGCTGTCATTGTGATATTTGATATTATGCATCAATCATAATATGCTCAATCCAAGGCACTTCTCCCAGATGTTTTTTTGCCCGGGTAGATTACAATTGTTAATCTTGAAATAAAAATTTTATGCAAGGTGCTTCCACTTGATATTTTCTGCTTGGATGGACTGCACTTGCTATACTCAATAAAACACAAAGCACTTCTCCTGAATGTTTTTGCTCGGGCTGATCGTACTTGTTGTTCACAAAATAATTTTTTTATGCAAGATGCAGATGCCTCCACTGGGTGTTTTCTGCCCAGATGGACTGCATTTGACACACTCAATAATATCACAAGGCACCTCCCCCAGATGTTTTTGCCTGGGTGGACAACACTTTTTGATCTTTAAATAATTTACATACAAGATATGAAACAAACAATTTTATGCAAGTCGCTTCCACTGGATCTTTTCTGCCCAGATGGACTGCACTTGACATACTCCTTAATATCACAAGGTATTTTCCCTGATGTTTTTGCCCCAGGCTGACTGCACTTGTTGATCATACAATATGTTATGTACAAAATATGAAACTAAAAATACTCTGCAAGTTTTGGTTCCACTGGATGTTTTCTGCCCATTTGGACGGAACTTGACATAATGCGACATATACCAAGGTGCTTCCCCAAATGTTTTGTTTGTGGTGACCATACTTGGCTGTCTTAATTTAAATCCAAGGCTCTTCCCTTGGTTGGTTTTTTGCCTGGGCAGCCCACACTTGTTGATCTTACAATCTTATGCAAGGTGCTTCCACTGTTGTTTTTGACCAAATGCACCACACTTGGCATGAATCAATGAATCCCAAGGTGCTTCCCCTTGATGTTTTTTGCCAGGGGCAGACCTCACTTGGCCTATTCATATACATTTACAGTCCTTTAGCCCTAGCCACGTATTCTTATATCTGATTACAGGGACTTTATTCAAATCTAACTGTGATTATGTCACATGCTTGTTACATATGTGGACATCTTATGTACTATCTGTTGTTCATGGGCAGGATCTGTATTACATGACATGCTGCCTGTCTGTTAAGTTCTCTGTGTGTTTTACTTTGTTTGTTACTGGGCGAAGAGCATACCTGTTTCAGAAGTTGTGCTTTACCCATAGGTGTGCCTCCTTTTATAATTTTGGCACACCTATTCTTTCATGGCAGTTGTTCTTTGCTTGTTTGTTTAATTTTACATCTTCATTGGCCTCTCCACCTTTACAGTGTGGGATTCTAGTTTTGGATGAGAGGAGGTAGTACAGTTTTGGAAGTTAACATTTTCTAACACTGAAAATGTATTTCTGATAGGTACTTACCTCCTTTCACCCACTTCCTGCCCTTCCTTTTCACTGATTTGCCCTTGTTTCTGGTTTGTTTCTGCCAATTCTAGAAAGTGAGGATTGTACTGCAATGGTAGAGGTAGCTATGTGCGCTATTGTAGGTGGTGCAGTATGATTGGTGGAGGGTAGTCAGATGATCAGCACATGTTGCTGCAATGGTGCAAAAATGAAGGAATATAAAAGATTGGTACACTGTTGAAAATTTTAGCAATGCTTAGAGGGCAAATTAAGGTCAAGATAGCTTTGGGTGAGAGGGGTTAAGTACCTATTGGAAATTCATTTTCAGTGTTAGAAGATGTTAACTTTTGGTGTATTTCCATGAAACATCATTGCAACAGCATATCTGAACCTGGGCAAGCAGTGTTTTCGGTATCCCATTCAGAATGTTAAAAAACGTACTATAGATATTATCCAGCTTATTTCCTAAACTAAAAAAACTTTATGAATAAATAACTGTTATTAACTTCAGTGATAAGTTTTCTGAAGTCTTGGGAAAATTTTATTATCACAAAGTTACTAATGCAGTTGTTGTCTTTGAAGAAAAAGTACATTTATTGTTTTAGCCAGTTGACACTGTTGCATTGAAACATCTTTTTTAAAATTTTTAATAAAATAAAAAGCTAATAAAATTTGACTCCTTGAACAAATTTTGATCAAACATGCTTTTACCCAAAAGTTTTTGGTGGATGTGCCAGTAAATACTGCACCAACTGTTGTTGCCATAACTTGATATTTTTGTATTACAGTTTAACATTTGAGACAAAAACCTTCTGAAAAGAATAATGCAGTATTTAGATATAGAGCTGGGTGATTAGCTCAATTAATTGATATAATTGATTATCTATTATCATTGATTACATTGATTAGTGCCTTGTAAAATAATTGATTAATCAAAATTATGATAAAATCAATGTTGCAAAATTAAGCAACAAATGTTTCCAATTATTTCAAGTATTCAGTAATCAAAATATTGCCATTATGATATTTCATTATTATTTTAGATTAAATCAAGTTTGTTTAGCTTAATTGGTTATTGTCATAACTCATAAAAAATTCAATTAATCAAAATTACAGTTTCTTATTATTACTGTTTTCACATATTCCAACTTATCAAGTAATTGTTGTTAACATTATGCGTATATGGGTGGATCAAAGTGCAAATGTCACAACCTTTCTACAGAATTGCATTTAAAATTTAAACTTTTTAACAATGGATTTCAATAAACTTGGCACCAAAATGTAGTATATAATGCAAATGTTTATCTAAGTTTTAATTTCAAAAGGCAGAGTTTAACTTCTCAGTCTTCACTTCTATCACAGCATACTGAATTTTGATTTATTTTTTATTTCTCCCTCATATGTGTTTCAGAGTGCTCAGCCAATTAGAAATACAAACTATAGTTAATGACAGGATAGCATACAAAATTGGAACCTTTTGCCTTTTTCATTTGCTGAAGCATCAATAGACTGTCAAACCCATTAGTGAGTCTCCTTTTACCTTATGGCTTTAGGGTAGTCATCTAACTCATGTTACATATTGTATTGTACCATTCTTGTTTGTTTAGTTCTAGTGGTCATAGTTGACATTTAGCAAGAGAATCTTGAGTGTTGACTAAAATCATTGCTCTGAGCTGTAATGGAATTTTTGAAACCTATTCATAACATATTTTACCTAGGAAACCACTCAGATTTGGGACATCATATTCTAGTTACTTGTATATTTTTGTGTTCTAAGATGCATGTGTGAAAGCAACATGAATTGTTTTGTGGACAACCAACATAGTGTAAAAAAAGTATTCTTATCAAAGTATGTTCAAGGACAAAAAGTAAGGTTAAGTGGCAAATTCCATTTATGTATATTTTTTACTTAATGTTATATTTTTTAACAAAACTAATTACAATGTAAAAACTAAATTATTAGATTGATTGAAAAATTTAAATGAAAAAATAAAAATTCTTGTGATATTTGATATCCTAGTTCGAGGCCACTATGTTTATATGATGTGATATAACTGTAACTTGGTCTGTTGTTCACACTAAGCTGTCCTTGTGATATATTGGGTTCCATGTAAAGCAATAAACCTAAAAGAAAATAGATGTGAAAAGGTTAGAAGTTCAGACTATTAGGATTAATAATTGTATTTGTCAGCAGTCACACTGGAAAAACAAAAACAAAAAAATTTGATTTTATTTCATATTTTTTTAACTTTTCACTGTACATCGATTTCACAACAGTTAGTGTTAGGGTACAGAAAATAAAGCTTGCCAAATGTCACGAAGATGCATATAATACATTCAGAATTGTAGCATGTATAGTTTCATGATTACATGATGGTTATAAAGTCAATGAAGTTGACTGAACCTGTATGCATACAGTTAAGCTATCTAAGTGGGCTATCTAAGTTTTTTCCATTATAGGTATTCAAAATTGATTTATAGTAAGTATTTTTTTTTCAGTAAACTCATGTCGGAATAATTGATGTCATCTCATAAAAATTAATTATTAGTTAAATGAAATTAATGAGCCATATGACTAATTAGCAGGTTCCATTAATTGATCAACTCTACTTAGAAAACCAGCATATTTATGTAATTTTGTTTCTTTGAAATTTGTATCACCTTATAACCATCTAAACTCTAAAGTATGAAGGGTTAAAAACCAGCTTTTAACATTAGGTTTTACCTTATTATCCATTAATTCTAATACATGGAGTAATAATTATATTTTTATTTTTCAATTTATAATATTTCATTTCACAACCTTTATTTTATTTCATCCTTAGTTAAACCAAATTTCACCCTTACTTTAACCCTGCATTCTAATATTTATCATATTGTAAAAGACATAATAGAATTGAACTTTGTAATGCTTTTTGTGTTTTATTGCTTTTGTACATTGAAAGAAGGGTATCTTGCTTGATACATACTAATAAATATGTTTTGTTTATTTGTTTTTCATTGCTAAAGATATTATGGTGTTATTTATTGTATGCCATTTTTGAAGAAGATAACCTTCAGATATTTTGTGTAGATTCTACTTCTTCAGGTTGTTATGTTGAATATTTAGTGCTATGTCCTACAAGTGTTTTTTGAACTTCAGGAGGTAAATATATATGCACTCCATTTTAGTTGGTGATGATAAAAAAAAAAAAAAAAATTAGCATGTGGTGTTTGTTTTCTACAGCTTCTCTTATTACTTCAGATGATGATGATGATAAATTGTACCAGCCTCCTGAAGGTATAGATAATTTTCCATACCTTCGACCTATTCAACCAGCAGCTGAAGATCCCGATGCAGCCTTCAGAGAAAAACTAAGAAGCATGGGGAAGTGTAAGTTTCTTTATTTCTAAAATATAATACATGCTATAAAAGATCTGTAATGAAATATGTAATATTATGAATGAACTGAATAACTTTCTTCTTGTAATTTTGATAATGATATATATATATATATATTTATTTTCTGGTGGATAAATATTTAAAAAATTTACTTATATATATGTTAAATGTTTTAATTGGCATTTAATATTTGCACATATTTTTCATCAACAAATCTATAATGTATAATAATGATCAGTGCAAAGCTGTTTTTAAAATAACTAAACTAATTACACTACTGGAGTGAATTTTCACTTATATAATGGAATATTTTTTCAGTATCACGACGCAAGTTTACTCAACTGGCCAAATTGTTTTCACGAAGAAAAAGATCGGGGTTTCGTCAGATGTATCCTTTCTCTGCATTAACTTATCTGTCTAGTAAATATATGCATATTATTTTCTACAGGTAGTAAGTTTTAACAAACTTCATCAACCTTATTCATTTGAGATGCAATTTCAACCACATACTGTAGGCCTTCATCAAGGGAATATGTTTCTAAGTAAGAAGTCTAGCACAAACAAATCAAAATGTTATTCCAAAATTAGTGGATGAAGCACTTTATAACTTTTCAGATTAACTACAACCCTTCACTTAGAATATCATATATACAATGTGTATAAAAATATTTTATGGTTTTATACAGAAGGTTAGATATGTTATTTTAAAACAATGTTAGTTTCACTATTTCATTACAGTTCATGTTGCAAAGTCCAGTCATGTTCTATCTGACAATGCATCTTTGACAGTAGTCTTTCTTCGGGATAGTTTCCATTGCAGAAGTCTCTGTTGTAAGGCTGTCATGTCCAAAGCATACCTCTCCTTCCTGTATGTTTTCCATAACTAACCTATTATATGAAGATGATTGTTTCCCAGCTCCCTTTGAACAGTTTAATCACATAGTAATCCATATGCATTGTGTCTGGTGACTTGACTGGTATATTTTCATGTGGAATAGCATGAATACCCATCTCAGTCTCCAGTTGAACAGGAAATATTACTGGAAGCCTTATCTCTATGAACCCATACCCTGTTGGCCTTTTGGTCATACAACACTAGTACAGTATCCAGTGATATTCATGAATCCCTTTGAAAAAGTTTTGTGACATGCCTTTTACCACTTATTGATTTTTTTTTTTACACACATTGGTCATAGAAAATGGCATGAGACATGTTACAGTTAGGTATTCATTGCTTCCTCAAATGTCACAATGTACTGCCATTTTTCCTCAACTGAGTAGTATTCACATAATTTTCTACAGTTTGTTTTCCTTTCTTGAATGTGTGATAGAACAACTTTTGTACATGAGTTGTGTTGGTTTTTTAACTCAGATTCTTCTTAATTATGTTGCATACTGTTGCCTTGGATATATTGATTGGATTTTACCAATGATCTATTAAACCTATGACTACTGGCTCTCTACATTGTAAAGACCTAACTTTGCTATTGTTATATTTTGTTCCAAAAATAAAACTGGTGAATGAAATTGTTTTAAATTTGACAAGAACCTTCCTAAAAGTATGTATTTTCTGATATGGTACTTTACCTTTTCTGACATAAATATCTATTCTCGTTCAGTGCTACCCTCTATATACAAAAAAAATAAACATGCCACAAGCCTTCTATCTCCTTTCCATTGGAATTGACTGATTCCAATGCATCTCTCATGCAAATCATCATGCATCAACCTTCCACCTTATTGGTGTGACATACCCTCATGACATGTGACTCCCTCTATTCAATTCTAACGAGGTATCACTTATCGTTTGGCAGTACTTGTATTTAGATGGTTTTTTCTTTTGGTGCTCTTCATGTGAATCATGATTTTAATAGTTTAATTTCCGAAGTCGGATTTCTTCATTATCATTTTTTTCTTTACATTGAAGAAATCTTTTAATTCAACTTAATTTCCCAGTTTTTATTTTCTTCTCACACTCACATATTTTACATCAAACACTTTTGTTTGATTTACTTATTTCTAAAATGAATTCTGGAGTTCATGTTCCATCTTCAGGTGTTATACCTCTAGCACTATTTTGACAGGCTGCAGGTAGAGGAGACCTGTTGTTGGATTTCTCTGCTATTATCCATCGTGAAATTGATCGTTATATGGGTTAACCTTCTTCTCCTGAACTTGCTCCACTAATCCTCCTGAATAAGTTGAACCTATTCTGGCCAATGAAGATGTGGTAGCTTTTTTACACCACCATATATTGCCGTGTTTTTCCCTACCACTTCTGCAGAATCAGCTAGGCCTATTATGGTATTTTTTGACATGATTTCTCAGGCATGTTATGTTTTATCCCATTCCCTGTTTTTCAATGACTACTTATTGGCTCATTTGTCATCTTCAGCTCTCGTTTTACACATGTGGTTTCACTGTAGTTGGGATTTTCTGGGTCATGATGCGACCTTGTTCCAGGTAAGTTTGTCACCTCTTTCTCTGCGTGATTTCTGTATTTTTTCTTTGGTGATATGTTTTAGATCATGTATCTGAGATATTGGAATCAAGTGTAATCTGTGCATCGACACTCAACTCTTTCCTCTTTGGTTGCACATTTGTTGCAGTTGGAGCCCTGACATGCCCTATTATTTCCATATCTACCTATCCCTGTTCCACTTCCAGAGGTTTCTCATTTCGTTGCTTTATTCAATGTTGATGGGAATGTTACCAACAGTACCAGAGACTAACCAGAGGTTCTGGTACAGTGGGAGCTTGACTACATCATATTGTTACATTTTGGCTATCTTTCACTACAGTTTCATGGGTTCTTCAGGTTTTATCAGAGGGACTTGTCCTACTATTTCTTTCCTCACCTCCTTTGTCCCTGGTACTCTTTTCCTTCCCCATGACTTGGGATCCTGCCACTAGCTTGCATCTGTCCAAGGAGGTACAAAATATTCTGTCTCTACAGGCTGTTGCACCCGTTCATCATCTTTCTCCAGGCTTTTATTCCAGGCTGTTTGTCGTTCTTGTGCAAACCGGAGACTGGTGGTCTGTACTAGGTTTGCTCCACCACATTCTAATTTTTAATCTGCCCTGTTTTACCTTGTAGTCTTTTCTCACCCTTAGGTGGGATTTTTCTCAATATTCATTGATGAAAAAGAGGAATGTTTTGAATAATTATTTGCATATCCCGATAGTTCATCACTCATGACTCTCTCTTAGGTTTATTCTCTATGGGGTGGTTTGTCTGTTTTGTGCACTGCTCTTTCGACTTGCTTCAGTCCTGTATGTTTTGTCAGGCATTCAGAGCATTCGTTCATCAGTTATATGCTCTCGGGTTGCACTTTCTTTGGCTGATTGGCTACTGTTTCCTCGTTTCAAACAGGAATCTGCCTGTTATCCTTATCAGTTGCTTCTGAAAGCAGCTATAATGGGCTGTTAATCAAATTGGAGAAGTCCTTAAATATCTTAGCCCTTTTGGTGTTTTTCTTTTTCTACACACATCTCAGTCAGGCCCATCCTTCTCCCCTTTGACTTTGTTTGAAGGGTTTTCAGTTGGATTACAGCTTGTGAAGTTCTATCGTATTTGGGGATATGATTTTTCATGGTAGCCCTTATCCCCTTAGGTCAGACTTGTATGCAGGCTCTTTTGTGGGCTTTTCACAAGCAGTGGAATTTTGCGAGGATCCTTTGTTGGTTCTTATTACCCTTCCTCCTATCCTTGTCATGGATTGGCATTGGTGGTTAGGTATGACTTACACATTGGTGGGAGTCCCACTTCCTCCTCCTCATCTGGTTTTCCACATTTCGTGGATGCATTCCTTCATGGAAGGCAGGGCATGGGTTGATCAACTAGAAGATTCTGAGTTTTTGGTCTACTGCAGAGAGGTTTTATCCTATCAATGCCCTGGAGCTTCTCACTGTATGTTGTGTTTTGGTTCATTTTATCCATCTGGCCAGAAATTGTCTGGTAATGATCCTTTCTGACTTTTCTTCAGTGATTGCTTTTACTCAATCACCAGGGTGGCACCTGTTCTCCATCCATCTGTATTCATACGTTGGATTTTCTTTTTGGGCCAACATGCTCGATATTCCAATCATTGCGTGTCATGTTCTAGGTGCTTTCACTCTTGTTGTGGATCAGATTCCTGTCCAGACAACATTTATCTGATGGATTGGTCTCACAATCTATTTGATTTCCAGTGGCTTTGACTTCAGTGGGGGTACTCCTCACATTGAGGTTTTGGCTACATTTCTTAACTACAAATTGCCTTGGTTTTGGTTTCTGGTTCCTTGTCTTCTTGCTCTGGCTATTGATGTATTCAGCTAGGATTGGGCCTACACATTAATCTATCCTCCTGTTCTCCTCTGGGTGATTTTGTTGATCCTTGACAATCCATATTCAGTCCTTCTGATAGCTTTTTCTGGCCATCTCAGCTGTGGTTTCTGTTGCTTCTCCTGCTCCAACTTTCTCTTTTGTTATCTTTTCTGCTGTCTCTGTCCCTTCTTTGCCACCCTCAGCCACTGGTGCTTCATACAGACCTTCCTGTCTTCCGTGTTCATGCCTGGTTTCCTCTGGTCATTGGCGATGTGATCCAGCTTCTCCTGATGATTAGCCTCTTTCTGACTTGTTTCATTTGCCCTTCCTACCTGGAAGTTTCTCAACAGAAATGGAATTTTTCCATCATTGGTTTCTGGATCCAGGGTTCCCCCCTGATCAACCCACTGTTCTTAGTTATGTGTATTCCCTTTCTTGACTTGTGGATCGAGTGTCTTCTGTCTCCCCAGTCTTGGATTTTCAGGTGGTCCTGTCCCACACCTTTCATTTTTCCTGATTTCCTATGCATTACTTATGGATGTGTTCCTTCCAGATTTGTCATCTGCTGTGGTGGATTGTCCTTCCAGATGGGGATATTATGTGGTCCTGCACTACCTCACTTTGCCAATGTTCGAACCACTTTCCCAGTGGTCTTTCTTTCACCTTCCCTTATGTTTTCCTTCCTTCTCCTTTTCGCCTGTGGATGTCAGTAGTCTATTTATTAGACATCAGTGTTTTACGTACTCTTTATCCTTCTACATATCTTCTTTCTCTGGATCGTTTTTCCTCCGTCACACTTGTGAAGATAACTCCTCCATTTAGCCACTTTCTCTTTCTTATGATCTGGATAGATTTCTGTATATGTCTCTTTTTATTATATTGCCTGCACTCCTTCATTCTGTGGAGTCTGTTCCTGCCTTTTCTTCCTTGGCAACTGTCTTCTGTTCATGTTCTTTCAGATCTTTCTTTGATTGGCTTCTTTCTCTTTATTGTCTTACTCCCATTCTTTGTTCTAAGTGTCTTGTCACCCAATTTGACACCTTACCTTTTCACTGTCAATCCATCTTCGTTGTCCTGTGGAGGTACTTTTTAAATAGAGTATGCGGACTACCCATGATATGTTCATCTTTCACTATTTGCATTAGATCAAAGTTTTCTTCCTCTTTGGGTTATCGTCTTCCACCTGTAGCCATTCTAGAATATCAAAATGCAATGAGACTTTACTGGACAAGTTTTATTTTCTTCTTATTTTTCCTTTTCATGGGCTCTTTTCCTTTTATTAATGCTCATGCTTTGCATCCTGCTCTGTGGCAAGTTGTGCCTGACCAGATATTTTTTAAATGTTCAAATCTGCACTGTCAGGCCATGTCAACTTGCATATTATAATTCCATGGCCACACAATGCACACTGCAGAGATGGGGTGTTTTACAATATCGCTTGTAGGTTTATCCTCACGATAGAATTGCTTCAGAAGTTTGCCTGTCCCAGACCATACCCACCCATAGACTACAGGTGTAAAGCAGAAGGGGATAACTGCCCATCCCTGCCATGCCTTGTATTGAATAAATTGGTATGATTTGCTTTTAGAAATAGGGTTTTGTGG